ACAGTCAAGGTTCCTGAATTGCCCCTCAATTGCATTTTGAGTAACAGATCCAGTTCCCAGATGCAAACAGCAAATGTGGGGTGGATTTGTAGGCCTTCGTTTTTCAAACGCAAGCCTCAGCAATTCTTCAGAATCTTCCATTTCCATTTGTTTTTATAATATCACTGATAAAAATCATTTTACGAACCAAAAATGTTGGCCTTTAATTCTTCCCCTGTTTTGAAGACTGTGCAAATTCAGCTGCTGAAACTGTAAGTGTACAAAAGAGAAGTCAGACGATCTCATGCACCTGAACTTGAAGGTTCTTTGAAACATAGCATAACAGCAATGATAACCCTTTACACAGATTCTTCTTGGAACACTTCAAGAAGGAGAAATGGGCTGGACCCATGGGGGAGTGGGTAATTTGTCTGGAAATATTAACATTTTGGGAGGTAGTGAATTCTACTCAAAATATCTCAGTTCTATACTGAGCGGAATCGCCTGGCGTAAACAGATGAAAGTGGCTGACTTGCTCTCGTGGCCACTGAAAAGAATCCCAGCCTGATCGGGAGAACAGATTTCTGGGTTTCCCTGCCATCAGCCAGCGTGGTGGCCTAGAGCCCGCCACTTCCCCTTTCTGCACCCTGATTTCCTCCCCTGTAAAATTCGGGAGTCAACAGGATGGTTTAATACACACTTCCTCACCTTTGGGCCCAGTCTCCCTAGGAAGACCTACCCATGTCATTCAGGCCATTTGGAAATCCAGCAAACCATCAGAGCAGGGCATGGTGGCAATTTTTATGCAGATGCTTCTCACGTTTTCAAAGAAGCTCTTTCTTAAGCTGTTCACTGGTGTTAAAAGTGTCTTCTGCCCAGCACCACCCCCTCTATCTTCCTCGCCACTCCCTGGGACCACTTCTGGGCAGTGGGTACCAATGAGCATTGTAATGCTTTCCAGTTGGATGGCCATTTGTATGACTTGGCTGCCTTCCAGCCATTTCATCTTAGGGGGGTCTTGGGTAGGCACCTCCAGGCCTTTCAGCTGGGGCAGAGGAGGATTGGGGAATCCAGCAGTGTTGGCTCCAGACTCGCTTTAATTTTTCCAGTAGTCCCAGGAGGTGGGAAAAATACTAACAGCTAATAATAATCATAGCAAACACATCGCATTTCCCATGTGCCCAAGAGTTGCTCTAGAACCATGGGGTATCTGGATAAAAAGGTCTAAATGCTTGTCACACCTTAATTCATTTAATTCTTTGAGTGACTCTACTAAATTACAACAAATCCCCTACATACGAACGAGTTCCATTCCGAGAGTGCGTTCGTTAAGCCCGATTTGTTCGTAAGTCCAACAAAGTTAGCCTAGGTACCCAACTAACACAACCAGCTATATAGTACTGTACTGTAATAGGTTCATAAGATGTTTGCGTCGTTGAAACTTCGCAACTTGAAGGTTTGGATGTAGGGGACTTACTGTACTACAAGATAGGTACCATTGTTTTCCTAACTTTATAGCTGAGAACATGGAAGACTCAGGGAACTTAAGTTTTTCTCCAGGGAAGTCTTGGCTCGGAGATTCAGGCCCTGTTCTAAGTGTAGAATCATTGGTGATGATCAGTGCTGGGATTCATGATTTTGCTTCAGCTAAAATGTCATAAGCTCCCTGAAGATGGGTCCAAGCTCTCCGACCAACACCCCCCCCCCCCCCCCCCCCCCCCCCCCC